GGACGGGGGGGTGGACCGCCGGTGTCCGCGGGGCTGCCGTCCGTCCCCGGCGGAGCCCGCTTTCCGCTCAGGCTCAGCCTCCTCAAAGCTGCGGCAGCCGGGGCTCCCCCCCTGCCCGCGGGTTTCCCCGGCAGGAGGGAAAGCCGCACCGCGAAAGCCGGTTGAAGTCTCCCCGTTACCCACCGTCGTTTTCCGGCGAGGCTGCTTAGAGCACAAACCGTTTCCGAAATTCCTCGAATTTCCTTAAAGCACGCCGTTTGTTTAACCCAGCTCCGCCACTCGTAGAATAATCTCGCACCCCAAGGTAGTTAAGTTTCTCTTCGCTGCTGTGAAATGAAGCTCTTAAATATTTATTGCAAATCATCTGAGTTTTTGAAGTCGAATAGGAGAATCTCCGTCACTGTGCCTAAGCTTACAAGGGCTAGTAAAACTTGTATATAGACCTGAAAAATCCCTTCGTTCCACAGCTACGCCGTGTAGGCTCATATAGACTGTTTTACTCTACATCGACCGGGAGGATTTTTACGGTAATTCCTCGCGATTTTCGAGTAAGCGATTTCGCTTCTATTCGGTCGCCTCGATTCAGACTCCCGAGGACTTTTAAAAAACATTCGCAACTTTCCCTTCTCCCCCCCCCCCCCCCCCCCCCCCCATCTTCTGCGGCTTGTGGTCCTTGCATGTATCCAAGACTTCGCAGAAAACTAAAAAAACCCAAACAAAACAACCAAACAAAACCATAAGTATTAAGATTTCAGGGCGCCAATGAACAACATTACATTCAATCATATCAGAATTTAGAAAAGGCAGCGCTCTCGGCGCCTGCTCCATGTAATCAACTGACTTAATAGATTTCACATAGTCCAGGGATTCATTGTAAACTTTATTTTTTAGTCTAGGCGATAACGTAGGCCGGCAATGTTCTAGCATTCCCATTTGACATATTTACACGCTCTTGTGTTAAACGTAACTAGTTTTCTTTTTTTTCTTTTTTCCTGAAAACGCTCGTTCAATTAATTTTTCAGAGTTTTTTTTTGTTGTTGTTGGTTGTTTTTTTTTTTTTAACTCATCGCCCCACGTTATTCAGTTAGAAATCGAAGGGAAACGACTGCCTTCTATTAACCGGAGATGTGGGCGAAATCCTTCCCTGCAGGGG